GCCGTAATAGCACCCTGGAATGGGATACCTACATGCATTAAAGGAAGCAGTAAAAGGCATTATCTACTGGGAAGCAGCATAACTAGAGGTGGGCAGAAGAGGTACCAGCCACAGGTTCCAACTTAGGACAGACGTGGGAATCATCCTCCACTCCTCAGAGTCTGTGCCCTAGCAGCAAGAGCAGTCCTACAGGGTATATGAACACCCTGCTGCTGCTTTAAGAGCAAATGCCAGGCCAGGCAGAGCACATGGTGGCAGTGGTGGCAGCAGCAGCACAGCTGCAGACTATTTTGGAGTACCCAGCATGGGTAAGACTTCTATACCTTGCACCTTTACCTCCATTCTCAGATTCCATGTGCCCATCTCCCCCTATCTCCTCCTCTCCTGCAGGGTTTGCCCCAGGAGCAAACCTTGCTTGATGTGCCTCTGCTAGTGGGGTAAGTAGAAGAATTTGCCACAAACTCAGGAAATATGTAACTCATTCTCCTGACATACTGCCCATGATGATGCTCACAAGTGCGAGTAGGTGTGATGACCCTGCCCTACCAAGGCTTATTCCTTCTGAGATAACTAACTAGCATAAGCACAACAAGCCTTTCAGAACTAAAAGAAAAGCATGTTTTTTATTCTTTCATGACCTTTCAGGGGGAAAGAGACTCCATGTAGCTTCTTTACTCTTCTAAAGAACTCTTTCTGAGCAGCTATATGGCCATGCTTGTTTAAAGATTAAAGATATCTATTAGTAATGAGTTTTATTTATTTCTTTCCTCCTGCCCACTAGGTCTGTTGATTGCCAAGTCTATTTCACAGCAAAAATTGACACCATTTTAACAAGTTCTGAGAATTCAAACTAATTTACTGGTTTCATTTTCAGCAACTAGGTGCAAAAAGATACCCGGTAGTCTCTCTACAAGTTCTTCCAAACGGTGTATTTCACATTTCTACAGTGAAAATGAATTTTGATGGCCACAAAATTAACATCGTCAGGTTTCATTTCCCAATCTAACTTCTCCTTGTTAATCCATATTTAAATTGCTATTAAGATTTTTTCACTCGTCTAAGCTGTTAAATAACGTATGACCCATTTTAAAACTTACATTCTTTGTCAAGAATAGATTATTTCAATACACTGCTATATGCAGATCTGCCCATCGATCTTCTTTCTCTCTACTCTGTTCAGCATATAATAGAGAAGGGATCTTAACAGTTAAATCAAACCCTCATGTTTTATTTGAAGTAGGGATGCTTCAGAAATTCTACTAAATGTGGCAGAAGGACAGTATTACATGTTTTGTCACATTTTGTAGATCTTCAAAATATTTCCAGAAAGAAATAAGTAACCAACCCAGCTTATGGGAAGATGTTTAAGAAAATTGCTGGTCTGGTCCCCACTATAAGCTTTGAACCTTTTTATGCTATCTCTTCAGAAACATGTGCTGAATTGAACATGTTCAGAATATACCGTGAAAGCTAGACATGTATTTTCCAGATAGGTAACACAACAAAGAGCTGTAAGAGTCAAGGCCAGCACAAAGTCTAGCACTACTTATATCTTGGCAAAATGTTTAAATATCTGTAGGCGAAAAAGAACACCCATAAATGGGCAAAGTAAACCCAATGTGTCAATCAAGTCTAATTACACTCCTTTCTCTATTTTAGTGGTTCTTACTGTTATTGTCAATTGGTTTCTGTATATCCAATTTCTAGAGCAGAGATCAACAACATACGGACTGCAGCTCATTCTAGCCTACCAAGTCACTGGATCCAACCTACGGACCCAGAGAGGAGAGGAGAGGAGAGGAGAGGAGAGGCCTTAGCAGCATTCTGGCAGGGGCACCTTTGTCCATACCCATGTGAGGTCTGTGCCACTGCTACTTCTTCCTGCCCTCCCACTATCATGTCTGGCCCTAGCATGGGCCTGGGAAGAGCCTTCCATCACCAGAATGCAGTTCAAGTCCCCCAGTCTGCCTCAGATTGGAACCAGGTAGTTTCAGCCCACAGTTTGGAAAGGGTGGCAGATGCTGTTATAAAGAGATTTAACCTGAAAATACCTATCAGCTTCGGAAGCCCTTGTAGTTGTCTAATGCAAAACAAGCAGCAACCCAAACATACAATCACAAAAATCATTATTGCCCTTGTCTATATATTTTCTATATTCCAGTGACATTTACCATATTTTCGCACATATATCCTGCAGGGTATACGCGATTTTACAAAAAAAGAAGGATGTGTATGGGCTATACGGGGGTGCGGGCTATCCACAGACTTTTTCTCCATGGGGGCTGGGGCCAGGGCGGGCTGCGCTGCCTCCCCGCTGGGCCCAGACAGGCTGGGCTGCACTGCCGCCACTGTCGCGGGGGCTGGGGTGGGCTGCGCTGCCCCCCCACTGGGCCCAGGCAGGCTGGGCTGTGCCGCCACTGCTGCAGGAGGCGGGCCGGGTCGGGCTGTGCCGCCTCCCCGTGTATACGGGGCCTCGCCCTCCATCTCCTTCTTTCCTGGAGGCACAGCCACCACCTGCCGGGGTATGTAGTGGACACCCAGCGGTGCCTCCGGGGCCTAGCAGGGAGGCGCCGCTTGGCTTGGAGTCCTCCCCTGGGGGTGCAAGGAATACAAGGGGGTGCAGGGAATACATGGGTGCGGGGAATGCGTGGATTATTTTTCAAAAATGCAATTTTCCGCGGGTTATACATGGGTGTGGGTTATACCCGTGTGCGGGGTATATGCATGAAAATACAGTAGTTTCTTCATTGGGAGAAACTAAATATCCAAACTTGCAGGCACCAAATGTTCAGCCGACCACCCAAATAATACATTTGCTTTATAAAGATACTCTCTCTTAAAATACAACCCACATGTTAAAGGAGCTGATGGCACCGTTACTGTCTAAATTGTTAACAACTCCTAGCTTAGTATAGATTTTGAGTGTGATAACCTGTTAATGGGCTAACAATCAGTAATGGACAGCACAGCACTGTGCTATCCCTAAAGCAAACCACAGAGGAGCCTGCGACTAAGGGAATCACTGTCTCAATTCTATTCTCCCCACAGCTCCAAGGAAGCATCAGCTGTTCCAGACATATTCCATCTGCAGCGTGCACTCTATGTCCCATCAAAGTAATTACCCAGAGAGGCAATGTTTGTGTATTCCTCTTCATCTTCTAACAAGAAATACAGCAGCTGAGGTGCCTTATTCCCCTATTCAGAGGAAACAGTACAAGGTAGTAAGGCTCTTTCTGTTCCCTTGAGTTGGCATACAGAGGATGGCCGCAAACTGGGCCTTCAGTATTAGCAGTAATGATAAACTCCATTTAACAAAGAAAAGGATTAAAATGTGGTATTTAGTATGTGGCGTCAAAAAAATTCTAAACTTAGCTCCTCTTTCAAATAATTTCTAAAAAGTTCTTCCTAACTAAAAGTTCTTCCCAGTTATTGAGGTTTCCTAAATTCTAATAGAAAAACTAAAGGAAACAGCTCTTTCAATAAAATGGATGTTAAAATCATTAGTAACTAGCAAGAACAAAAATGCATCACTGAATGAGATTACTTATTGTGCAAATGAGTTTGCTAGGCTATAGCCTTCCAAAACATGTCTTCCACTGAATTAAATTGGATTTCTAACTGTGAAATGATCAAGGGATCAGACCACAAAATCCTTAATGCTACTCTAGTTCTCTTACACAGCATAAAGGTACTAGAAAAAACAAATGAGGATCTTACCCCAGGAGCATATTTTCAGGGCCCAGTAGCTAACATCTTCTATAAAATCTTTCATTTATACCAAGCTACTGCATATTCCCTAGTATGTATTTTGCATAAAGAGGACTGAATTCTATTGTCTTTTTTTCTTCCTTCTTTGGTGTTAAATCACTGCACTGTTTCCAAATATCCTTCTAAGTAAGAAGGAAAAAGCCTACTGTCTAAGCACTAAAACAACACGAATATCAGGTCCTCTCCTAAGATGTCAAAGTTATAACGATAAGGTTATATACCTGGCTTCAGCTGCCCATTAATTATTATTTATGACTTTGCATGCCTGCTGAAAATAAAGAATGACTAAGCTAATCTCCATGTGTATGTTAACAAAAATTTACAGTATTTGTGAGGGGTTTTTTAAATTAAAAACAGAAAAGGGTAGGTTGGAGATTAGGAGGGACATTCTGACTATGAGGCTGGTCAACCACTGGAACACTCTACCTAAAGAAGTTATGGAATAACTCCCTGGAAATTTTTAAGAGCAGACTGGACAAAGCTTGTCTGGGATGTTTAATTAGGGATGATCCTGCCTTGAATAGGGAGCCGGACTCAACTTTGTGAAGTCCAGCCCTACTTTCCAATGATCCTATAAGTAACAAAATCTGAATAACTAAAATTTATGATGATATCACAATTCAGTTAGATATAAATAATTTTTAAAAATTAAAGCAGCTATCAGTGGATTATGTTAAACTGCACACATCACATACTACACAAATAATGCACATCTCCCTAATTTGAAATCATTATTAGCATATGCTAAAGTAAAGTGATTGAAACATAATCCTTACTACCATAATTGTAGATTAGATAGCACCAGGAAAATATCTAATTTAACAAAACTGATTCCCTAATTTAATAAAAAGAAAAAATGAATAACCATTTTTCATCTTATCCATTAGAGATAAAACAATGAAATAACTTCTGTATTCACAGGAAAATTGTCAAACTGGTAAGAAGAGATTTCAAAAGTAAATAACATCATGTACACAAAACCAGGCAATGTTATTACAGGCAAATAACATAATTGATACTAAATGAAAATGTATTCATATTAGTCTGAGTTTCCTGATTTATTAGTCAATACGTTATTTCCTATCAATACAGAAACTAAGAAGGATTTTTTAAAATTATATTTGACAGCACTTTCACTTGAAACATTTTCTGTTTTTTTACTTACTGTATCATAGTTTTGTTCATAAAAAGATAAATCAAACAACACCATCCCATGAATATTTATTTTGTACCTTGGAGGACCGAAAACAAAATGCTGTAGATTTCACATCAGCTTGCTCTTTGTCTGTGAGAAGCAGACTCTTGTCATCCAGGAGGCTCAGATACTTCCCTGTTGTTATATGCCTTAGTCTGAATGGCTGTCCCCATCTGATGTGGCTTCCACTCCACCTAAAAAGACAAGTTCAGAGGAGAAATCTTAAACTCAGAGAAGAAATCTTAAACAAAATACAATGTTCAAAACTGAGATCACTATTAAACATTCTGAAAGTTCATTGATTCACGGTAACTGCAAAATCATCTTAATGTTACCAAAGATGCCCAGTCTTCCTTCCCAATAATTAGCAGAAAAAGCTACTATTTAGCTATCTCACATAGACTAATTCCAACAGCCAAAAGGAACAACCCCTTCCCGTACTTCAAGGTAAAGACCTTTTGGGAGAGGAAGCTGCCAACAGCTTAGTGACCCCAAAAAACCCATACACTAATAACCTAATAATCATTCAAAAACTGATTTCAAGAACTAGTCGATCTAATAAATAACCCATTGAACACCAGAGAAGAGATACCTGCTCTTATAAAATATAAGCTGATATCAAACAACTCTCCTCCTCAATATTTTATTATCCTCTTAGAACTAGATTTTCCAAGCCACCCAGAGCATTTTCCCCTGCAGGGGTTTGTACAGTCTGTGTAGATATTCTCCTCAGATACAATATTCACAAAATAATACCAGAACAGAACAAGCAAGCAAAGGCCTACATTAAGTCTTCAAATTTTGGAAGAAATAGAAAGGAAAATGAAGTATTCCAACTCAGTTCATTGGCCTTTCTATTAAAATATAGACAGAAAGGTTTTAACTTTCTGCTTCAGACTGAAAGCATGAAAAACTTGTCTATTCAGAACAATTTCTAAAGGACAGTCCAGCACAGAGATTACTATGTAGGAGAATCTCCTTGCCATAATTGAGGTATTATGTGATGCTCAATCTATCAAAATGTTCTCTCAGTAGAAGCTCTTTAGGGAAGGGCATTATATTTTTCTCATCTTTGCATGGTGCCTAATACCAAAGGCCCTCATCATGAACCAGTATACTCTAAGTGCTTCTGCAATACAAATAAATATTATTTTTTCACTTCTACTTTACTATGAAATAGCCCAACATCATCAATTACTGTTGAATCTAAACATTGCATTACTGCTACCTTTGGCTTCCTCTTAAACTTTAAAACCTTAAATTTTTTAAATGATGCCAGGAAGAAAATTCCATACCACATCAAGAGGCAGACAAGGTTCTTTGGGTGAATCTGTTATCTTTTATTAGACCACCTTAAATAGTTGGGAGAAGATCATCCTGGATGCCTGGGATCACGAACAGTGGGTCTAGACCTTCTGCATGAGAACAACCATCTTCATGGAGATCATCGCCCAGCTGGCCCCCCACATCATGCACCAAGATGTTAGCATGAAGCCGTCCCTCACTCCAGAAAAGTGGATGGCCATTGCCACCATGAAGCTGACTACCCCAGTAGTCTCTGCTATGTCACCAACAGTTCAGCATTGGCACATCTATGGTCATGGAGGCCATCCAGGAAGCGTGCCTCGTCATCTGAAATGTCCTGGCCAACTGCTTCATCCACCTCATCAACCCATAGAAGGTTGCTGACTAGGGCTGCACAAAATTTCAGCAGCCATTTCATTTTGGAGGTGTTTTGGGCTGTTTTGGCACCCAAAACACCAAATCTGAATCAAAGCAGAAGATTCCAAAACAGATCCGAAATGAAACAGAAGGCTCCAAAATGTTTTGGATATGTTTTGAAGAATTTCAGAGTTTCAGAGCTGGGCTTGCAGGGAAAAAAAAACTAAGGAGAGGGTGGAGGGGAGGGGAAGTACTGCTCTGATATTGACATCTAGCTCCCGGTTTGATTCCCCAGCTCTCTGATCTCTTCCCCCAGTTCTCTAATCCTTTCCCCAGCTCTTCCCAGGGGGTGCAGAACCCTGATCTCTGCATGGGGTTTCAGCAGGCTGCCGCTCAAGCCTAGCTCCCGGAAGACTGTGGTGCTGCTGCTGGCCCCAGCCTGCAGCAGCAGCCTGCTGAAACCCTGTGCACAGATCAGGGCCCTGTGCCCCCTGGGAAGAGTTGGGGAAACGATCAGAGAGCTGGGGAATCAAACCCGGGGCTAGGGAATCCCTGCTGCTCGACCTGACTCCATAGGGAACAGAGATCTATGCTGGGGTCTCCTTGGAGCAGCGCGGGGCTGGCAGCAGCAGCAAAGAGACCAGTGCAGATCTCTACTCCCTGCAGAGCCAAGTCACTTGGCAGGGACCAGCAGGCTTGCTCGCCAATCTGCACTGCTTCCCTGTCCCGTGACCCTGCATGACAGGGATCAGAGATGCACGCAGGAGTCTCCTCACCTGCATGGAGGGCAGTGACCCTCCTCCTGCCCTGGATGAGCCACCCATGGTCCCATCTTGCTCCCTGCTGGTGCCCTGCACCCCCCGGCCCCAAGTCCTGCCTGGCTGGGAAGGGCTCTGCAAAGCTTCCTTTGCAGCCCATTCGAAACAGAGTCAGAGGAGACTCAGCAGAGCCAAATCTCCTAAACAGATTCAGCCAAATCGAAACAGAACAGTGATCTGAAACACTGAAATGAATCACTGTCCTCTGAAATTGAAATGGCTGTGTTTCAATTCGGTTTTGGATTTGGCGCACAGCCCTATTGCCGACTTCCACTGTATGGGCTTCCCCAACTAAGTGGGGCCATGGACAGCACCACATCCCCATCCTCTGCTTGCCCCAAGGTGCCAAAGCATCATCAACTGCAAGGCTTACTAATATATTGTGCTCCAGGGTAGACACCCTGGAGCACAATGTCACCCATTGTCATTCATTGTGCTCCAGGGTAGACACCAGGGCCACTTTACCCACATCGTCATTAGCTGGGAGGGCAGTGCCCACGGTGCCCGTGTCTTCGAGAGCAAGCCCCTCCACTGATGTTGGGGGCACCAGATCCACACAATGGCAGGGAGTCCATGTCTGCAAAGCCCTGGCTGACTCTTCTTGGTCCTTGGGCAGCTGTGGGGCCTGCGGGGGGAGGCAACTGCATGGCAGAAGGCATCACCACAGCAGAGGCAGTCAACTCCTGGTGCTCCCTCATGGGATCTTCAGCCTTTCTCCCTGGGCCCAGAGGGCCTGGTCTCCCCCTTTGGGGACCCTAACCCTAAGACCCTCAGCTACACCTGAGGCCTAATTCACACAGCAGGACCAAACCCCAGGCTGTCCATCCCTGCCATGACTGAGGCACTCCTCCACAGTGGGCCCCAGGCCAGGAGAGGGGCCACAGGGAGTGGCAAAGTTCCCTCCTGGCACCTGTCAGATGGACGAATTGAGACAGGAGGGTTCTGATGCCAGCCACTCTCCCAGTGACAGCCTTCCCTGGCAGGCTGGTAAGCTACACTCACCCCCCAGCTCCCACACCCCACTAGGACTGTCCTGGAACTGCTTGGGGGACATGCATACATGGCATGATTAGAAGGTTTGTGGGGGGAGGCTCAGATTGGCTCAGGTATAAGGGAGTGTCATAGACAGCCCTGCCCTGGGGCCCCAGGCACCCTGGTCTTGCTCCCCACACCCAACACCATGGTCTATGCCAGGTATCTTTCTGCTTCCCCTGACCACAGTTCACCAGCTCCCTTGTCCCACTCCTGCAGCTCCCAGTCAGGGTCCAGTATAGACAGTTAGCCCTACCTGGCACCCAGGGGTCCCTCCTGTGGAACCATTACTCCTGTCACCCCTAGAGCAGGAAACTCCCTAGAGCAGGAAACAGCATGCTGTTGGGGGCTAGATGGCAGCCTCTCTCTGCCATCCCCAGCTTGGGGGACTTATGCGCTCTCTGTGAGAGGCAGCACTGGTGCCAAAAAGGAGTGTCGCTGCAAAGCAGACCGGGACCCTATCTACAGATGTCGTGTCCTGGCACTGGACTCTGCCAGGTCTGCAGAGGTGCAGGTTGACTCCTCAGAATGGTGGGTGGCCATATCAAGCCCCCGTTCCCACACCTCAGCAGCCAGGTATGGGCATCCGCCAGTCAGAGAATGTCCTCCTTCACACCTGGAGTCTCTCCTCATGCCACTCCTGCAGCTCCTAGTGCCAGGAGTCAACTGTGCATACCCAGCACTCAGAGGCAATGATCAAGGCCTGCAGCATTTTCTTGCTTCTTTGATGCCTCCTATGGACAACCCTCAAGCACTCTGCATCTGTGGGGCCTCCTGTCCTTGAGCTGGCATTGCATCCTCCATACACTATCCACTTGCACAGGTGATGTTTTTGTAGTTTGAGAGGGGAGACATAGAGCCCTTGTTTGAAGTTGCAACTTCTGCTGATAAAATGAAATATAAGGACAGGAGGTCTTAGAGCCTTCCAGCACTTACCTGGGTACTCATGCAGAAATGACAAGGTAGCTATGCTCTATCTTGGCCCTTTTCCCTCCTCCCTCATTCAAAGGTCAGGAGCCACAATGCTGCTCTCTATCCAGCACAACAGAAACTGGGGTCCCAGCTGTAGTGCAGGTGTGCAGCAGGCCCCGCAGTAGTGCTGGGACAGGGGGGCTGTGTCCCTCTCCAGGAACTGGGGAAGGTACCCATTCTGCTCCCTCTGAGGGTCTGGGGACCTGGGTACTGTAGGGACATGGACCATCCCCAGAGTGGACAGGGACTGACCACTCTAGGGAACACCAGCAGAGTTCTTAAACCGCTCCCTCCCTCCAATCCTTCCCTTACAGGAGAGACATTTCAGCACAGTGTCCATGTAGGAATGGTACTTTGCTCCCAGCATTTCCCTGGTGAGAGTCAGCTGGGCTTGAAGAGATGACTTCTCCATTATTCTGAGGGGAATGCCAGCCAATATGCCCTGCCTATGTTTAATTCCCAGTCCAAGATGTGATGGCTGGAGGAAGGAAGGGAGGGAGAGGGGTTGTTTGGAAAGGGTTTTTTTTCTTGTTCCTGCTATACTGTAACTCCAGTGGTTCTCAGATACCAGTGTTACCTCCTGTCTCTGACTTCAGTGTCTTCTCTGCCACCTGGCCTCATGGCATTACCAACTGCATCCCCCCACATTTCTCCATCCATACACCAAGACCCACCCTCCTACACTTCTCAGCCATGACAGCCTGGGCAAA